CTGGCGGGCAAGGCCCCCAGGCCCCCCCCGCGCACCGCACCGGCTTCTCTCTGGAGAGGCTGTCACAGGCACCCAGACATCGGGGCTGGGGAAGTCCCAGCAGCCACCTGCTCCCCCCGGGATGCCCGTCCCGGCCGGGCAGCCCCCACGTACGCCTGCGCTCGTCCAGCTGGTTGAGCAGCTCCAGCAGCTGAGGGTGCATGTTGTTGATGGACTGGAAGAGGGACAACACAGCAGAGTCGTTGGTGATGCTGCGGCCCCGCATGTGGTTGCTCTTCATGCGGTTGACAAACGTGGTGACCGCGTTCTGCAGCGCCTTCAGGAACTGCTCGTGGTTCTCCTCAGACTCGCCGTTCTGGTACTGCTGCTGGAAGGACAGGGCAGCCGGGCAGCCTCAACTCCCCAGTGCCGAGAGCCAGCAGCCAGCCCGCAGAGCTGCGTGGCCGGGCTGAAGGAAGGAGCTGGGCGCTCCTCACCACAAGCTGCCAGACACAGGTTCAGGCCCCCTCTTACCTCAACAACGCCGAGCGGGGCGGCGTGGGCTTCCCCGGGCTGAGCAGCTGGCTCTGTGAGGGACAGAGGTGCTGACGGCGTGGGGCTCTTGCGAACTTCCTCTTGCTTCTTCTCCCAGTAGTTGCGGTTCAGGTACCGAGCCAGCTGCCAGGGAGAGAAGGAAGATGAGCATCGCAGCCCTGCTGGGAGTGAGCCTGTGCCATGGCCTAGTAAGGCCTGGATCCTTACCTCGGGGTCAATGTCCTCAGCCAAGGGAGCAGAGGAATTCTGGAAAGAGACAAACAGCAAAATCCGGTTCAGAGAAAGCAGAGACCCACAGCTCCCACACAGACGTGCTGCTCGGCCCTGGCCCCGCACAACCACCCGTGCCGAGCGCCAGCAAGAGACCGAAAGGCGACGGCCATCTCCTTCGGCCAGACACACGCTGCAGCGACCGGCAGCAGGGGAGGCACCGAAATGCCGGCTGACTATGGACCTTGCTGAAAATACAGCAGTGCTGTGACAGAGCGAGGGATCGAACGGGGCAGATCTTTTCTCTCAGAACAGGGGTTAAGTCTGACCCAAGCAGAGCAGGCTTGCGCTAGGTAGGTGGCCTGCATCCAGCCACTTCACAGCCAGGGGTCCCGTGAACGTACCACGGGTGGGGAATAGAGCGTGCTGACCGGGGGAGCTGACGAGGTGACGGGTGTGGGCTCAGCCTTCGGGTACATGGAGTAGCTTGTCTTCTGCCTCTGCAAAAGAGAACAAGAAGAGTCAACTGGAGGACTGTCCAGACTGCTCCGAACTGCCCAGTCAGCAACAGAGCGGGCACACCGGGTGGGCGAGGCTCCCCGCCAGGGCCAGGCATGGCTGGCAGACCCAGCCTCACGCTTGCTGTGGTTCCTGCTGGCCAGCGTGCCCCAGGGCTTGCTGCTTGGGCACAGCCTGCTCCCAGGATTCGGGGCTGCAACACAGCATGTGCCTGGCTCCGCTTTCACCCTCTCTCACTTGCACCAGGACATGCCTAGAGATCTGTTACCGCACAGCCAGAAGATGCCCAGCACATCGGGGCTGTATGGCAACAACCACTCCCAGATGCCAAGCAGGGCACGAACCATTCTCTCCTTCTCCTCAGCCTCTGACTGAGACAAGGCAATAGCTAGCTGGAGCTCTTCCTCCTCTTGCAGAGCTGTCTCGTCGCGCTTTGGAGGCAGCTGCAAGCGGACAGATGGGGAGGGGGTCAGCACAGGGACCGACAAGCGGGTCGGGGTCACTGGATCACCGGCAGTGCAGCCGCTCACCTGGGACTGCTGGGAGAGGGGGCTGGTCAGGTACTCAGGGGGCAGCTCGGAGGTGGCAGCAGCTTTACCCTCCGCTTTCCTGTAGCCAGAAAGAGGAGATGGTGCAGGCTGAGTGCTCCTTCCTCCGCACTGGAGCCCCAGCCCTGCACACCACCACAGCTGTAAGCCCTGTTCCCAGGAAGGAAGGGAACCCAGCCCAGCTCCGGTCTGCAGAAAGGTGGCTCCGCACCAAGCCTCTCCCCTCAGTCCCCGCTGCTGCAGGCGCAGAAACACAGCACAAAGGGTACTGACTTGTTGAGATGCTCGTAACAGGGCTCGCAGACTCTCACTTCCTTCTCAATCCCAAACTTGGGGATGGTGGAATACTTGGAGGAGCACTTGCCACAGAAGATCTGCCCGCAGGCCCTACAGTGATGCTGCAAAGGATGAGAGACATCAGTGCAGCAGCAAGACGCTCCTTCACCGTTACACCCCACCACTCAGTCACTCCTGGCACCTCCCTGCCAGTGGCCAGGGAGCACGGTGCAGCCCCGACACGCCCCCACGCAGGCTCCGGAGTCCTGCAAGTCCTGGAGGGCTGCGCAGGACCAGGGAACCCAGAGGGGCAGGAGAAGCACCCACCTTCCTCGTCACAACACCGAACTGCACGCGACATCTGTGACACTCCTCAGCATCGACCCAGTCTGGAGCCTGTCAGGTTAAGGAAACTTGCGTGAGGAGGGGAGAAAGGCCTCAAGGAGTGCCTCCACAGAGCATTTTGGGAGCTCCTACAGCCAACCAAGGCACTCTCATGAATGGGGGATACCGAAAGCATTTGTTGCTCAACAGGACATATTAATCCCCACAAGTTATCTCCTCTCATGTTACTAGAGATGGGGATGCTTTCCCGATCAGCAAGAGATTTCCTAGGAACACGCCTGCACAGCCATCACTTTAGCAGTGCTCTGCTGCCATGTTCAGACTGCCAGGCTGCAGGAAGGCCACTGAGCAGGCTATGAGGAGACTAACTCCCTGTCCTGATCAAGTCTCCCCTCTCTCTGGCAGTTTAAGGCTAAATTGCTGTACACCACCCCACAACTGCCCGCGCGACAGCTGGGAGCTGCATGCACCCCGCAAGGTCTCTAAGCTGCATGAAATGAGGAATGCAAGAACGCAAGGGTTAGCAGGAAGGGGACAGGACAGCGAGGTCCATCCTGCAGCGCCAACTCCGTCCCCACCAGCAGAGCTCACCCTTTCTGCAGCGAACATGGCATCGCTCTCTTTGAACTCGGGGAACACGTGACCTGCAGGAGAAGCGAGAGTCCCGTTGTGAAGGGCTCCTCCGCAGAGCGAGGCCGTGGTGCCCGCAGCCTCGTGCCGCAGGTCCCAGCCACACGCGTCAGATCCAGCTCCATACACCTGCCCTGCCCGTTATCTTGCCAGTGAAGCACTGGGCTCTCAGCCACGCTCTCGAATGTGCAGGACAATCCCCTACTGGTTTCCCTTACACACCCGTAAGGGACATCAGGGCCCTTTGGATAAGGCTTATTTCTCAAGACCTTGAACTCAGCATGGGGGAGAAAAAAGCCCCCTGTGTGGGTAGGCAGGGCTTTGAGTCTCACCCCTTGTGTGGCAAGAGTGCGGCAACGCTGGCTCAGCAGGGAACTGGGACCTCCAGGCTGTGCCACTGCCTGTGGAGGTTCTGCTCCACAGACAGACGCAGAGACAGCAGCGTGTCCCTTCCCCCACGGTGAACGCTGCCGTCCCCGGGACAACAGAGGAAGCGCCATACTGGCACTGTCAGAAAGCGGGAGCCTGGACCCAGGTACTAATGAAAGCCTGGGAGGAAGGAACCACCCTGCTGTAAATCCCTTCCCAGAGGACACACGGATTTGCTGCCAGTTTCCTGAAGAGCATTCGCAGCTGCTGCTTTTCAGGTCTCACTGCCAACCCTTAGCTGCTGGCGGGGCTGGAGGCCCAGAGCAAGGCATCCCTGATCCCGGGACAACGGGGCTGTCCTCTCTGTGCAGCAGGACACACTCAGGCCAAGAGGTTCATCGGGTATCGGGCACCAAGAAAAAACTCAGTATCGCAAGTCCAGAATTTCACTAAAGGAAGGCAGGGTCCTGACACCCATTCCTTCTCCTGCAAGGCTCCTCCGGCACAGAGCTGCTCAACTGCCTGCCCACCCACATTCGCCCGCCAATTCCTCACCTTCAACCTTCATTATCTGATAGGTGTCCTGCACCACCTTGTACTTGGGCTCATTGCGGAAGGCGTGAGCCCAGGCCTGGATAAGGTACAGGATCTTACTGCGGACGCTTGTCTCCACTTGCCTCTGCACAGAAAGGGAGGAGGGGAAATAAAACAAAAATCTGAGAAAAAGGCCCTGAAACCCAAAGGATGGTGTGAGCCCCCCAAAGAGAAGCCAGAAATACCATGCGTGGAAAGAGACTTTAGAGCACTTGCGCAAGGTAAGAGCTGTCAGAAAGCTGCAGTAAGGACCATTCACAGCAAGGACTACAGCCTCCTTCAGCTTCCCCACCTCCCCCCTCCAGCACGAACAAGAAAGTGTCCTTCAGAGCAGGTGATGGAGCAGGTTACGATGCTTTGAGAAAATGTCCGTAGAGACTCGCACAGTCGCGCCCCGGGGCCGGCACGAGCGCTGGCCTGCCCAACACCCTTGGTCACCTCCTCACAAGAGTTGCTCAGACTGCACTCAGAAACATGCGGGACCCACAGCGAGCCAGCAGGCAGAACAGCACGGACAGCACGGTCCGCCTCAGCCCAGCACAGACCGGGTGCCAGAGGCTCACAGCCGGGGGTGCTGGTGCCCGGCTGTCAGCACCTCCAGCCCCGAGACTCCCACCCACGAACACCCAAAGCTACCTCGGGACGTGACGCAGTAAGGACAGCTGCGAAGTCTGCCCTTTGGAGGCAGGGGTGCTTGTATCACGGTTCAAGGAGCCAGAGGAAACTTGGCAAGCTTGTTCCTATCCCAGCCAGCCTCCGAGAGCAGCCCTGTCATCAGCTGACCGAGTCATCGCGCATTCACATGACCGGCTGCTCCAGAAATGCCCCAGGAAGCAGAGCAGCGTTGTCAAGCTCCTATTTCAGCACACACAGCGTGACTTGCTGACAATTCCTGGAGCTCCAAACTTCTAGAATATTTGGCAAAATCCTGCATTCCACAAACTCTGAATTCGCAGCCCTGAACCTCATCAGAACTAAGACCAGTTTACCAGCACTGGGCATTCACAAGCAGCAAAGCTCCACGTGTGGGAGGAGAAGGGGTCTGCGGCAGTTACGAAACTACCGAGACAGACAAGGACGGGAGAGAACCACAAAATCCTCTCGATCTGATCTCCTCAGCGCTTGGAGCGGCTGCACCCGTCCATCGCACTGCGGCAGTGCTCCCATCTCAGCAGGAGATCCCGCACGGAGACTGAGTCAGCCCTAACAGGGAGGTGACAGGAGTGAGACGCCCTGCGACGGCGTGCGAGGTGACGGGACTCGCACAGCTCGTTCAGCAAGTATCTGGGTCATCCGGTCGTCTATTTCTGGCGGAAGACGGAGGCTGTGAGGAAGGAACAGCACTACTCTAGCAAGCTCTTGTCTGGCCATTGCCATTCTGGGGATGGGAGCTGGAGACAGAAGTTCCCGTTTCCACTTCACTTGTGGAATGCTCCAGTCCAAGGACACATGGAGCTCCTGCAGGCATCACGTTGCACCAAACTGGCAAGCGACAGCTTGCGACAACTTGTCCGTGAGAACAGCCAGGTTCGCGTCCTGCAACGCTCTTCAGACAATGCCACAGGCCAGTGAAATGGCCACGATAAAGAGGAAGCTTCTGCCTGTTTTCACCCTGCTGCTTTACCTTCCTGCAGGTCTCATGCTGTACTACGGGAAGGGAATTCACCGCACCGCTGCTCAGGTCCTTGGTGCAACTGCCAGACCATCGCCTCTGTTTTCCTTCGCTGCCTCAAGCCAAGCGAAGCATCGCACCCAGCAGCATTAGCCACAAAGTGGTCCAAGCCTCTGCAGCACGTTCCTACCCCACTTCACAGTACAGCCAAACGTTACTGTTGATATCACGGTATCTTCTCTCCCCGCTCCCTGCTCCTTAGCTCCCCACACTCATCCCTTCACACCACGCAATACAGTTTGCTCTTTTATGAAATACATTTCCAAACAGTTCCCTTCTATTCCTGCACTTCTATTCCTTACAAAAAAGGAATGAAAGAGAGGACGTGCACGTTTTCTCCTCCTGCTGCTTCTCTCACAAGCCCATTCAAAAGCGACAGTAAAATAGGATGTATTTACCTTGAGTATTTCCTTCAGTTCTTCCATGGTCTGTTTATTGGCCACCTCGTCATGGACTGTTTGGCCACAGTTTTTGACCACTGACTCCATGACCTGCAAGGGCAAAGCACAGCATTAGCCTGCCGCTCTCCTCCTCCTCTGTGGCCCGCGAGGAGTCCCAGCAAACGTTACAGGCTACTGCAGCCATCACAGCAGGACAGGGACACGACTTAGGCAAGGAGTCACACCAGGGCAGTGTCAGTCAAGCCAGAGAAGACCACGCCGCCACGCTGGAGAGCGAGCTATGTGTCAGCTGCACGGCAGCCTCTGCCCCGCTGCTGCACAAGACAGACCCCCCCGGGACAGCCTCTCACACTCCAGCTGTGTCTGCTAGTAACTCCGAGATGGAATGCCAACGAAAACCGTGACCTGCTGGTCAGTCACAGAACCCCTGTGCTAGAGCCGGGCGCAGGAAAACTCCAACCTGCGGCTCCGCCGCTCCCGGGACAGGGCAGGGCACGCTGCGCAGCCCCGCAGGAAAGATTATAAAAGCCGGGAAGCTCCCTGGCCTGCGAGCTGGGCCCGGCGGTGCTCGCAGCTTGGGCTGACATTACCTCCAGTGCGTAGAGTGCCACGTGGGGATTCTTGTCGTTGACTTTCTTCTTGATAGCGTTGACGGCATATTTTGCTCTGGGTAAGGAAAGAGAGGGCACGTCTTCAGGCAAACAAGAATCCGAGGGGAGATTCCAGCTGCCGCTAACCTGCCAGCCCCCACCCCAACACAAGGGTACACGCAGCATGTGGTTAACCCAGGAACGGAAGGAAACAAGCACATTCCAGCTAGAGTTTCTCTGAGGGGTCCAGGCCAGGGGCAGCCTGCAGTCCCCAGGGCCTGCTGTCCCGCCCTTCCGACGCCTTTGGGGAGGGGGACGACGAGAGACGTGCGACCGCGGGCTCCCACGCCCAGGGCACTCACTGCGTATCTCCCTGCCGGATCATGTCGCAGATCTGCAGGATGGACTCCCAGTCCGTCTCCAGCAGGAGCTGGCTCGTAGCCTTATCTGGAGGGACGAACCCAGCAGCACGGCTGAGAGCAGCGCAGCACCCTCGGCCCCGCTCTGCCACCACCGG